GCTCAACCAGCCCCACCCCAGAAACTGCAACTAGTCCGTCTAGTGCCTCCTCAACCACAGCTAGCTCAACCAGCCCCACCCCAGAAACTGCAACTGTTACCACAACGACCACACCTACTACAGTATCAGTAACTGCTTCTTCTATAAACACATCAAGTCCAGTTCCAACTACCACTGTCACATCTAAAGAAAGTGAATCCACCCCAAACACAAACATAGTAACTACACTTACCACTCCCACCATTTCCTCTTCAAGTGGTGGCTCAACCACAACTGTTTCTTCTCTAACACTAAGTAACAATGGATCATCCACGAGCACAGTCACGGAAGGTGTTTCCTCAAAGACTATTGCTTCAGTGACTTTCAGCAGCATCACTTCATCAGAGAACAGCACCCCAAAACCTAGTACCACAGGTAAGAGCAATTCCCTCAAGGACTCCTCACTGAGGAGTCAGACCATAGTAGAGGATGGGAGGTAAGTGTGCTCTGCTGGGGTAGGGAAGTGGGTATAAAGAAAGCCCAGGTTTCCTTGCATATGAATCCCTGAAATGAAAAAATCTGAGTCACAAAGGCTAATGGTGATGGCAGAGACCCTGAAAGATTACCCACAGTTCCATCCTGTTCTTTCCTTCCCACCCTTCCTACCCAAGCTATTTGCTAGATGTGGAATATTTTTATGAACTTCGATTTTATGAAAGCTACTTCTCCAGTTTCCCTCTCCCTAGGAGATTTTTGGAAATAGTTTCAGCGACTTTGAGAAGGCCAGGTCCAAATACACACTGACTCTCCAGCTCCACTGGTCCAGCTCCATGGGCCACCTAAGGAAGGAGTCAGTTCTACTCTGACTCCTTATCAAATGTTCTTAAAAAATATGACACTGCAATGGTGGCTGATCGCAATTTGGAATTTGAGCCAATTTATGGAATTTGAACCTGAGGGATAAAAAGCCAAACAACAGCAGTGCTCAAACAGCCCTAGACATGACAGGGGTCATTGTCCAAAGGACAGATGTTTGGGGCTACTGTCTAAGATGACAATCAACCTCAAGCCAAAGTTATTGAAACAGAAACCACTTGCCTCATTTCCCAGAACCTGGTCTAGAACAGGGGTTGGCAAACTTTATCAGTAAAGGCAAACTAGTAAATATTTTAGGTTTTGTGGGCCACAATAGGGTCTCTGTTGCAACTACTCCACTCTGCCATCTTTAATATGAAAGCAGCCATAGTCATTATGTAAATGAACAAGCCTGGCTGTATACCAATAAACTTTATTTACAAAAAACAGAAGATGGCCAGATTTGGCTCATAATTCATAGTTTGCCAACCCCTGGTCTAAAAAAATCCTCAACCCTAGGCTTGAAGTATCTAGATAAACCCTGTCATTCTCAGATAGGGAAACGGAGGCCCAGTGAGGGCAGCAACTTGTCCAAGGTCGTAGAGCAAGTGGAGGTCTGCCATTGAGCAAAATTGAGAGGAAGGTACAGAGATTTCCCGTATACTCCCTGCCCCTACACATGCATAGCCTCCCGCATTATCAGCATCGCTCATCAGAGGGTACATTTGTTACAACTGATGAACCTACACTGACACATGATAATCACCCAAAGTCCACAGTTTACATTAGGGTTCACTGTTGGTCTTGTGTATTCTATGAGTTTTCACAAATGTATAATGACATGTATCCATCATTATGGTATCACATAGAGTGTTTTCACTGCCATAAAAATCTTCTGTGCTCCCCCTATTCATCCTTCTCTCCCCTCAACCCCTGGCAAACACGGATCTTTTTACTGTGGCCATAGTTTTGCCTTTTCCAGAATGTCATGTAGTTGGAATCATACAGTCTGTAGCCTTTTCAGATTGGCTTCTTTCACTTAGTAATATGCATTTAAGGTTCCTCCATGTCTTTTCATGGCTTGATAGCTCATTTCTTTTTAGCTCTAAATAATATTTCATTATCTGGATGTACCACAGTTTATTTATCCACTCACCTACTGAAGGACTTCTTGATTGCTTCCAAGTTTTGGCAATTGTGAATAAAGCTGCTATAACCATTCATGAGCAGGATGTGAGTTTTCAGTTCCTTTGGGCAAATACCAAGGAGTACATTTGCTGGATCATATGGTCAGAGTATGTTTAGTTTTGCGAGAAACAGCCAAACTGTCTTCCAAAGTGGCTGTACCATTCTGCATTCCCACCAGCAATGAAGGAGAGCTCCTGTAGCTCCACATCCTCACCAGCACTAGTTTATTTTTTAATAAAAGTAAATTAGATCCATAGTTATGGAATAAGAAGCTTAAAAAGGGCAAAAGCATATGTGATAAAAACTAAATCTCCCTCCCATCCTAAGTCCCTGGGACCCAGACCCCAGAGGCAAGTGTCTTTCCCCAGAGGCAAGTTCTATGGCCAGTTTCTTATGTCTTCCCTCCAGAGATAATCTGCAAATACAAGCATACATATTTGTGTGTTTGTGTGTATTCCTCCTTTTTTTAATCACAAAAGAGAGCATGTTATACACATTGTACCTTTTTTAAAAAAATTGATTTCTACCTATAGGTTCATAAGAATTCAGACAGCCTTGAAGGTTGTCATACACTTGGTTTATTCTGAAATCAAAGCTCAGAAGCATTTCATTTGACAGAGATGAAGAAAATGGCCAGTCAAGATCACCATTTGGCCATTGACCTAACTTTCCTCCTTGGGTTCCATCAGATCTCTGGAGACAGGAAAGATGCTGCACCCTGCCTGGTCTGGAGGCCCGGCCAGTGGTGTAGAAACCATTGCAATAATATTCTCACCATTTATTCAAGTCATCGACTCAGAGAGGCAGATAGTGGAGTGTCCCCTCATCATTTCCTCTTAGAATTTCCACTGAGTTAATCCACATTCTCTTCCTAACACCCCTTTCCTTTCTTCGTGGATCTGTATACCATGTCTGCTACCCAGAATATAACATCTAGTTTCTTGTTGGAGCTTCTTGCCTATTCCTCCCTATAAGACAGTTATTCACACCTTCCTAAAAAATATGATTCTTTCTCTAAAATGATCTTGGGGAGACCTACCTAGTGTTAGAGGACCAGACATCAAGGTTCTGGAGGGTCCTTGAAGTCCAAAGATTCCTGCCTCCCTGGAATTAGGACTGCTGTCTCTCTCTCTGAGCAGATGCTTGCCAACAACCTCTGACCTTTACTGTTGACACTTGGTTCCAGAATTTCAGCAACAAACTCCCTAGAGGCATAAGAAAATATGAATTTGTTTTTAGCTCTTCTAAGCGTGTATACTGTGGAATAACATAACTGAGGAATAGAAAGTGCCCAGGAGGGAGGCATGAAGATTTAAAAGTATGTTTCCAGGTGCTATTTGTTGCTGTTCTGTGGATTTTAATCTCTTTCTTCTCCATCTCAGGTCCCAGCAGTCCTTGCCAGGGGGATCCCTGTAGCGGTGGTTCTGTGTGTGTTAGTCTGAATAGCACATATTTTTGCCTGTGTTTGGACGGGTATTACTATAAGTCTTCCACATGCAATAAAGGTGAGTTACAAAGGATGAACTGTGCAGAGCTGCATCTCATACCTAAAGTGGAATAGAAAATTTAAAGAAATGGCAAAAAGAGCCTCCAGAATACTAGAGGTAGAGGAAAATTTGGAGGCAACAAAGGCCAGGAAAACGGAGAGAAGTCTCCTGCCTTTGTCTCAGTGGAAGCTAGTGGGAGAGGACATGGATCAAGCCAGATCTGTGAGCTAGTCTTGAAGGTCTGGGAGTGGATGTGTCCTTCACTTTACCTGTGCAAGGAAACAGTGCCTTGGGGATAAAATGAGAATCACAGGTGTTGAAGCCCCTGAAAAAGTACAAAGACTGCATAAATACAAAGTAGTGTGGTACATGGGACACTGACGCAGAAGAGGGGGACATGCCTGAGACCACATGGTCAGACAAGCCTGGGGCCTGGTCTTCTGACTCTGGTTCAGTTCTCTGTCATAGGACTTGCTTGCTCCATAACAGCAAACCCCATTTTCAGAGACTCAAGAGCCTCTCAGCTCTAGAAATAGACTTTAGGAGCAATCGACACACCCTTGGCATAACACTTTTTTTGGTTAGATCAACTGGGTTCCATGAAGGTCCAAGGCTGTTTCCTGAGTTATACATTTTTATCTGTTTCGTGAATGAGAGCTAGCCTCCCTTGCCAGAGCAGAACAATTGTGTAGGAAATGAATGCATTGGCCACAGGGCTTAGAGATATGCCAAAAGCCAAAAGGATGTTCATAATTTTAGCACTAATAAGCTCATTTCTGGGGATCCACTCTAAGTAAGTGACCCCAAATATAGAATGGTTTGTGCATGAAGAAGTTCATTGCAGGCTTTTATTTTTCCTTTTATTTTTTTATTTTTTTAAAGATTTTATTTATTTTATTTTTTCCCCCCAAATCCCCAGTAGATAGTTGTATGTCATAGCTGCACATCCTTCTAGTTGCTGTATGTGGGACTCGGCCTCAGGATGGACGGAGAAGTGGTGCCTCGATGCGCACCCGGGATCCGAACCCGGGCCACCAGCATTGCAGCACGCGCACTTAACCACCAAGCCACAGGGCCGGCCCTCTTTTTCCTTTTAAATAATTAAAACCACTAAAAACAAAAAAGTGAGACATCAGTCAAGGAACATATATGTCATAGAATATTATGCAGTCTTTAAAAATGATAGTTATGAAGACTAGGTAATGATTTGGAAAAATTCTTATTATATAATAATAAGTAAAATGACTTATGATATAAACTTGGAATTATAACAATGTAAACTATGCATGGAGAAAAAGAGCTGGGAGAAATATACCAAAATGAAAATGGTTGTGTTAGGTCAAGCAGGATTTGGAGTAACATTTTTCATATTTCCAGACTTCCTGTCCTATCATTATATAATGTTTAGAATTTTGAAAAATAATCTATGTTTTAAACACAATGGAAATGACCCTCTTTGTGTGAAATAGTACAGAAAGATTCTGCTTGAATTTCAGGAAAGATATTCCCCGGAACAATTACAGTAAAAGTATCAGAAACATCTGGCTTGGAAGATGAACATTCTGTGGCCTATCAAGAATTATATCATGAAATCACTACATTTGTAAGTATTTTCCAACCTTCCTTCTTGTATAAGTGTTCTTCATTCTGACTCTGAGTTGCAGAGCATTGGGCTGGTATTCAGGTGGTGCTCATTGGTGCAGCTGTACCACTTGTTCAGGTGGTGAAACGCACCCTTACTGGTTGGTACACAGCAGCTGTCCCGAGCCCCCTGGGTGCCACTCCTTACCGGTTGCCCAGGCCCCTCCCCTGGGACCCTTGGGCTTCCCGTGATCCTGCACCTAGAAGAGTAGCACTGGCACAGCAGAGGGCCTTTAGGAGCTTGCTCCAGTCATGCCAGACTCATGGTTACATGAACTATTAGAATATTTTTTAAATGGACAGATAATTTAATAAAAAATTAAAATAAATTATTTTCAATTGAATCGAAGAGAAAAAATTTAAAGATGATTTTTTTTCTTTTTACATTCAAATTTGCATAAATTTCCATCCTACTTAGCTTTTTTTTAACGTCTGGAAGGGGAACTCCATCTGAATTTAACATCTGTTACTTTTTTCCCCCACTTTCAAAAATGTCAAAATGAACAATAGCTTCATTTCCTTTTGATTATTGTGAGTGAGTGTGAACGTGAAAAGGATAGAGCTCTCCATTCTGGAACCATAGATGTGAGACCTGGAAGGCCTCGCAGAGGGCATCCGGCCAATGTTTCTTAAAGTTTAAAGGAAAAAAATGTTAGCCTGTAACTTTGTCTTAGAACACTAGGTGGAGAAACACTTTTAAAAACTAAAGTCTTATTCTACGACAGTATCTTTCAGTCTGGCGTTACATCATTACACAAGAGTTTTGTTATTAGAATTGGTAAAATGTAAAAAATTATTATCTAAATGATTTTACACATCATACAGAGAGAGCTAGTGCTCACAAGCTAATAGCCGATGCCTGGTGCTGCTCTGATAAAAACCCCAGCTGGCGCATCCCAGGGCGTGCCCCTGCTCCTTTGCCGTACCACCTGTGCAAAAAAAAGGGCCTTATCCTTTTATCCTGGATCTACATTCCTATTCACCAGCTTGGATGATATTCAGACCATTGAAGACACCAACATCAATGTGTTCCTGTTGTCAGGGAACCCTCGATTGTCTCCTGCGGCTTTACTGAGCACTGGCCACTGTGGCCACTACATTTCCCAAACTTGCTTTGGGTATGAGCGTCCAAAAGCCCCCTCCAGCTACAGGCCTATGCCTAGGTCTCAGAGAGCAGTGTAGAGACTTGATCTCAATCTTGATGGTCCCAGGGGGTAGAGGTGTTAGAACATTCTTATAATTTCCAAGGACCTTTTATTCCAAAAGAAATATGCCAGAACTTCCTTGCAACTCCCAGACATAGGAAAATAGAGACAATTTACTTTCTTCAAGGTCCTCTCAGCAGACTTTGTAGCCAGGACAGTCCCAGCTCAGGCCCTGAGAAGTCTCCCGGGATCCACTTTCTACCCAGCTGGATCCACACGGACAGTCGACACAGGGCTTCGGAGTTTCCCTGTTGCGTGCTGTGCCTGGCGTTTTATGTGTAATGTTTCTAATTCTCATAACAGCCCCACAGGGGAGATAGCGCTATGGTGCCTATTTCATGGATGAGGCAGTCGAGGATCAGGAAAGTTAAGTAACTGACTGCAGGTCACCCAGCTGATGAGTGAAGAGGTCGGGATTTGAACCCAGACCTGCCTGATCACACAGCTGCTTCTCCTTCTCCTCACCTGCTGGCTCTGTGGTGCAGTGGAGGCCAGGCAGGCCCGTTTCAATAGCTCCTGCCTTCTTGTCCAGCCTTGCAGCCCTTCAGATTCAGAGGTATATATCCCAGCAGCCTCAAAGGGTGACCTGGAAGAGAAAAAAAAAAAGGAAACACTTTGTCCTATGCCAGATGCTAACTTCACAAACTCTTCTTTGGGGTTAAGAAAATCAAATGGACAATGGTCACCAGGGGAGCTGGAAGGCACCTTGCAGGTCATCCAGTGAACTTGTTCCTAAGTGGACCCCTGGGACCCTGATGGTTTATAGAAATACCAGCTATTCCTAATGTTTAAAATATGATAAAGGAATATGGACATATTCTGGATATAAGGCTGCTCAGACTACCTAGAGCATCAAATTTATTTGAAATTGACTAGAATTAAAGAGAAATTATTTGACATCTTTTTAAATGACATTGGTTGCTGTGATCTTTTAAAATGTGGGGTCCCCATGGGGAGAAAAATAATCAAGTTGTAGATTATAAAAAGGTTGCACCAACCCAGTTCAACACTCATCTGATAAATGTGGAGACCTAGGCCCAGAGAGGGGAGGACACGTCCAAGGTCATGATTGTAGCTCTCACATTTAATTCATTCGATCATCAGTCAACCAGCCTTTGTCGAGCATTTCCTGGGGATTGCTAAGTGCTATGGGGGAGGCTGGGGGCTGGGCCAGTGGGGGCGGTTCTGTCATAAGAAAGAGAAAACCCCGTTCTTGGCATCAGAGAGCTTATGCTCTAATTGGAACCCCCACCCCACCTCCACCTCACCCCTGCCAGAGGTCCCCGCTTTATCTCTGGCCACTTCCCTAAAAGTATCTCAAGTTATCTCTGCTCTTAGAGCACAACTCAAGCCTAAGAGAGTTTCTTTGAAGTTAGTCACCTCATTTTTAAGAGTATGACCATCCATTTGGCGGAGTGCTTTCGGTTTCCATCTTTTTCCTGGATAACTCTGACTTAAATCAGAATCTTACTATTTTGAGCAAAAGTTACTGAAAGGTGTTAGAGCACATGTCAAGAATAAATAATTTGCTGTGATGAACCATGTATGTTTATATAAATGAATGTACAAATGTATTTATGTTAACACCTAGATACAGTATCACATTTTCCCCCTCTTTGTAGTTATTATTAAATCTGTTCTTTTCCTCCACAGTTTGGAAATGCATTTAACAACACTGACTACGGACAGACTGTAATTCTTAAAGTAAGGTAAGTCTGCTATGGACCAATGGGGTACTTTGGAGGTGGGTGTGCATTTGCCTAACTTCCGGTCTTCTCTTGAGTTCCCGGTGCAGCAATAAGGCCCTCTGGTGGCAAGTCAAATGTCAAGAAGAGATGATCACTCTGAGCACTGCGGAGGGCCCTGCCTCTAATGTCACGCTGACCCTGGCCAGGATGGGCAGGTTGTGACCTGGGGACAGCAAGATGCTGTCTGTGATTGGCTACTCAGCAACTTGCACACGTGGTCCCAGGCATCACCTGGATCTGTTTGGTTTGATCCCTTGGCTACAAACCACACCTGGTCAACCCCTAGAATGTGTATTCCCGGGGGCCAGGAAGAGAATCAATGGCTCACAGGCATCATCTCTTTCCTCATATCAAGGGAGTGAAGGAGACAAGAACACCCCAAGCACACATCTGGCTACTGAAGGGCCAATAGTGAGGTCTTTGTGCTGTAAGGATAAGTATTTATTGAGCATGTCAATACGCAATGAGCAATGCTGGGTGCTACTTAGGGGCCCAAAGAGGCAGAGGATTCTCAAGAAGTTAGCAATTCTATCTCAGCCTTCTCTGAAGTATATTGATACACAGGTACCACAGGCCGAGGAAGGAATGCTCTAAGATGAGTGGAGCTGTACAGAAGGAAGCAGCTCTAATGTATTTCTATTTTATGATTTTACTATCGCACCTATCTTTATAAGCTTTGTCAAATCCTTTGTGGAATAAAGTAGATATATATATAAAGGCGGTGAGTTTTGAGCTGGCAGTGAATGAGGAGCAAGCGTGGTTGGCAGCCAGGAGGCCAGCAGGCATGGGATGGAAGGCACAGTGCTCGCCTAGCGAGGGGTAAGCAGCAAGCAGAGAGGCTGGGCCCCAAGGCAGAGGCTCGGAAGCTGGAGGTCCACAGCGGACAAAGCTGGAGGGCTATGCATTGTTTCAGGGCATTTGGTTTGGTTTAGCAGATGACAGGGAGTTTGTGCGTCGAGGATGACTGGATAAAAACAGGAACAGTGAGGTGTGATGGTGTCGGTCAAATCTGTACTTGAATCTTGGCTTTGGCACTTTCTCACTGTGTGGCCTAGCAGGTGTTTTAACCTCTCCGAACTTTTGTTACCTCCATCTGTGTAACTGGGACAATCTGATCGACTTTCCTGGAACCTTGGGAGGAGTTCAATGAGATAACATTTGAAAGATTCCCTGTGCAAAGTGCCTGGCACCTAGTTGATTTCAAGTCATTTACACTACCCTTTTTTGGTCACAGTGCACAGTGGCTCCATTGTTTCCTTTAACTGTTTCATGAGTGTAATGTCTACCTCCGAATCAAAGTGCCTACTAGTAGATTCTTTGAATGAATTATGGATGGCATTTTCTTTCCTAGCTCTACCGCAAAATTTTACCATCGATTTCTGGTCATCTTCCAACTGATAAAGAATAACTTGTATCAAGTACCCTTTCTCACTGCCCTATACATTCCACTGCCACCTCCAAATTGTATCATGAATGAATCATGGTAGACAGTTTTAAATTAGAATTCTGAAGCCCATTTTGCTTTTTTGAACTCCCTTTTGAGGTGGTCGTCCCTAAAAACAGAATTTGGTTCGTGTCTTGGATTTTCTTGATTATTCTGAAGAACCAACGCAGCTGTAAACATTTCCTAAGTAGGCTGGCTATATTTTCAAGCTTCTATATTTATTCAAAAGCCAAAATGGAGTATAGAAAAAAAAATCGGACAAGAAAAATACAACCTGAGACTTAAAAACACATAGCCACAAATCAAATAGGGAAAGAGTTTTTAAAAGTCCTTTTTTTTTGGGGGGGGGGGGGGCGGCCCAGTGGTGCAAGTGGTTAAGTGCGTGCACTCTGCTGCAGGGTGGCCCCGGGTTCGCCGGTTCGGATCCCGGGCGCGCACCAACGCACCACTTGGCAGGCCATGCTGCGGCGGCGTCCCATATAAAGTAGAGGAAGATGGGCACGGATGTTAGCCCAGGGCCAGTCTTCCTCAGCAAAATAAGAGGAGGATTGGCAGATGTTAGCGCAGGGCTGATCTTCCTTACCAAAAAAAAAAAAAAAAAGTCCTTTTTTTCTCTCTTAATGGTTGTACCACTTGATTCCTTTTGGACAATGAAAGAATTAGAACTTGGCAGTGCTGTTCTTAGGGCTCCAAACTGCAGTGCTGATTAGAAAGAGAGAGACTCTTATAATGTCTTGCTCATAGCAGGCTCTCAGTAGTTGATGAGAGGATTTGGTAGTACATGCTCATATTCCCCCCAGCCTTGTTTCAGTTCACCTCTGGGTCTTGTGTGACCAGGCCCAATCACATACCCACTTTGAAGCTGCCTGCTGACTTCCTGGCACTTTCTGGAAATGACCCAGACTTCATATGGTTGATTACTGCTCTCTCTTGCACAGGAGGAACACACATCCCTCTGTCTCTCTCCAAGTATGAGTCTGAGATTGAACAGCTCAGCAAGAGACCTACTCTTGACGTTCTACAGAAAGCGACAGCTTAGTTCAGATGTTACTTGCTCTACTTCTGCTTAGCTCCAGCCTCTTAGATCCTAAAAATTGTTGTCCACAACCTTCCTAAGTATCCTCCAGCAGGACATTGTTGTAGCCATAGGTTTCCTCTGAATAGACATCTTGGGGCCTATAAATTGCCATCTTACTGTAACCCCAGGCCTCCGTATTTGGGCCTCAACTGTGGCTATGGGACACTGGGTCAGGACTAGAGCTGGGAGATTGGGGAGTCTGGGAGGTTTGAAGACCTGTTTGTTGATCCTTCAGTTCAATTCATCAAATGATGGATTCATTTCATTTTTAGCATATCTCCTTCAGCAAGATCTGAAATGCGTGCCGGTGACCAGACTGTTAATGTAGCAGTAGTAAACATTCTTGTAGAAACTACAAGCGCAGATGAGGAGAGAGTGTCTGATATAATTGAAGAGGCAATTAGAAAATACTCAGGTGACATCACAGGTTATACCAGTAAGTATCAAACAATTTTATTCAAAGTTTACCTAAAGACCTACCTAGCTTTTTGTAAACTTTTGCATTATATGTAGCAAGAAGAACTGGATGACCAAATCCACAGATGTCTCCAAGTCTCCTTTTAACCAGTCCCTTCTTCCTCCCTTTCCTCTCTCACTCGGCCTCTGCTCCTTTCCAGCCGTCGCCCAAGTCATCAAACTGACCAGTTTGTTCCTATTCTTGGAAGGTAGCCTTGAACAAATGGTCTCTTGACAGGGGAAGATGAAGGAAGGAGAAACAAGAGGGCTTTACACCAAGTTACAGCTTCCCAAATGATTATAGCAAGTTTACCTACACCGTTTCCCCTTTAGGCTGACATACAAGCCCACAGCACAGCCTTAATAATTCACTTTTTTTTTTCTTTTATTGAGGTATAATTGACTTACAACATTATATTAGTTTCAGGTGTCATAACAGTTCACTTTTGCTGTGTTACAAACCATCCCAAAACTTGGTGTCCTAAAACAACAACTATTTATTTATTGGAACACTCTAATTCTGTGGATCTGAATTGGGGCTGGGCTCAGCGGGGCAGTTCTGCTGATCTAGGCCAGTCTTGGCTCACTTATAACTTCTGCCATTAGCTGTTGGGTGGGTCTGCTAGGGGCTGATCGATCTGTGATGGTTCAGATGGATGGTTTATCTCTGCTCCACATGGTCTGTCATCCTCCAGCAGGGTGGTCCTAAAGGGTTTCAAGAGCAGCAAGGAGGTAAGTTTCAATGCACAGGTGTTTCTCAAGTCTCTGCTTACGTCACATTTACAACCGTCCTGATGGCCAACACAATTCACATGACCAAGAACAGTGTGGCAGGGCCCTACCAAAGCAATTGGATACAGGAAGGCATGAATAAATTGACACTATTACTGCAATCAACCCACTTCAGCACCCATCAGGAGTTCCTCATCTTAGAAGTGACCTGTTAGGGCCAGCCCCAGGGGAAGCTTTGTGCAACTGGTTCTCAGTCCTGGTTGCCAAATCCAGAGGCCTCTGTTGAGGCACAATTTATCTGACTTTTCTGTAGCAGTGGTATCCTTCCCTTCTGTGACACTGTTATCCTTCCCTTCTTAAAGTCCCCTTCTCTCTGGGCCTCCACCCTCATTCTCCTAATCCCCCTCCTGCCTCCCTCATCCTTCTTTTTGCTCCTTCTAAGACTCCTTCCTTAGTCTCTTAAATTTTTGCTTTTTGATTATTGTAACCTCCCTGGCCTAGTATGCAAAACTTATTTCTCTTTTTGAAAATATAAAAAAATCCTGTGCGTTTATAATTTTCCAGCACCTTTTCTCTTTCTTCAAGATTTCACAAAGATTCTCACTGATCTCTCAGGACCTGGAATGTAAATGCTCTGGGATAAAAGACTTACAATTCTATCAGAAAAGATGGGGGCTCCTCTGCATTGTACCCCCTCCTTGGGCTGCGGTCCCTTTAACAATGTCCATTCAACTCTTTTCCATTTAAGTGATATGTCCTAGCAGAAAATACTGGAGAAAAATACCCGTGGAACATTCAGTTTTTCTCACGTCATCCATCAACATTACGCCACCAGGCCTGGCTTTTTCATGAGCCCCTGGTAGCAGGGAAAACACACAGACACACACAGCTCCATTAATTTGCCCATATTTCATTTTAATTCTTTGCTCTTTGTTGTTATATTTTTTAATTTTAATTTTAATTTTAATTTTTTGGTTATTTTGGGTTTTGTGTGTGGTAAGCCTGAGCTCATTTGAGACTCTAAACTTTCTCTGTCACATTTTTAATCTCCATCTTTGGTTATAGGACCTTCTTTCCATATTTTATTTATCTCTCTCATCTGAGAGCTTCCTGTGCAAACCATGCCAGTTTCTTAAATTACCTGACCCTCTCCTCCACTTTTTTATTTTACAACTCATGGGGATCATTTGCAGCTGCATAATTAGAATTGCATTTCAGAGCTTCTTACCTTCTTGAACTATTTTCATCGTCTAGAGTCTCATGCCGTGGAACTACATCTTTTCCTTGCTGAACATTTCAATATTTACTTTCTCAAAGTCATGCTCCTCTTTCTGGCTATCACTTGGTCCTTGTCTTCCACGGGACCTATCGCTTCTACCTGCCAATCAGTTTCTCTTTGGGGTCAGAATTTGGTCCAGAGTAGCAATTCATGCAGTCAGAACCTCTACCCCCTGGAAGATGAACTTGTCAGCAAGGCAAGACAAGACCTTATCACATACTCTGCTTTTGGCTATATGAGTCTTCTAGCAAGTGTGAGGAAGTTGAAAGTCCCCATCAGCATGGGGACTGACCACTCGGAGTGGTCACCAGCTCAAAATAACCAGTGCATTCTTCAAGGTAAAGTTGGGGTCCCCTGTGCAGTTCTTTCCTTTTGGCTCTCCTTAGTAATTGCCTTGGCTACAAGCCCTGCATATCTGAAACTATCGCCTCAGCTCTGAGAATTGCTTTCTTTTGACAACTCCTCTCAACATCTCTCCACTCTGAGAACACGCAAGTGCTCTAAGATACATGAGCAAATTACTAAATGATGCCCATAGAGATGGCTACTGAGCATGAACCACCGGCAAATGGAAGTGAGAGCCTCAGAACTGTTAGAGGAAAATCACTTTTCCTGCTCTCCAGCTTCTGCTGCAAAGACAGATTCTCTCTTCCATGTCAAAAGTCCTAGAATCTCTTTCCCTAGACTTTTTTTTTAATATAATTTTATTTATTTATTTATTTTCCCCCCAAAGCCCCAGTAGATAGTTGTATGTCATAGCCGCACATCCTTCTAGTTGCTGTATGTGGGACGCGGCCTCAGCATGGCCGGAGAAGCGGTGCGTCGGTGCGCACCCGGGATCTGAACCTGGGTCGCCAGCAGCACAGCGCGTGCGCCTAACCGCTAAGCCACGGGGCCAGCCCTCCCTAGACTTTTAATTGGTGGCATTTTCAAATGACAGGTGGTGAAGGAAGGTTGGTTCCAGGTCTGGAATGTTTAGAAGAGAGTAACCACATAACCACTCTGCATTCTCCTATTCTTTCCCCTAATCTAGTCTCAGATTCATCTCTTTATTCCTAATGCCTTCCAACCTGCTTCTAGACTAACATTCTTGAAAGATTGCATTCTCATGTCATGCTTCTGCTCAAAATCTACCAATGCATTCTCAGGCTGGTGGAATAAAAGTCAATGTCCTTAGCCTGGCCTTCAAATTGCTCTATCAATGAATGCACAGAAGAATGATTATTTGTTGAGACTCCTGTAGCGCCACTTACATTACATTAGCTCATTTATTTCTTACAACAATCATGTGAAACAAAAAGTATTAGCCCCATTTTATAGATGGAGGGAACTTGGACCCACCAAAAATCAAATGACTGAACAGAGAGCTCACAGCCAATAAACGGCAGAGTCAAGAATTCTCTATTTTCTTCCACCTCACCACCCTGCCTTCCCCCTACCCAAGTACAGCTCCACTACTCCCTACAAGAATGCTTTGCTTCTTTTTACACCTTGATTACTCCACTTAGACAGACTTTACCTCTCCTTTGACTGTTCACATCTGCCCTATTTTTCAAGACTTAACCCAATTCCCAGCTCCTCCATGATGTTATCTTTAGGTACCTGAGCCCCTGAATTCCCATTGTACTTAAAGTCTAGATTATGAGTTGCTTGATGCGACTCTCTATGGGTTCAAACATGTAACTCTACAAAGATGGGCCCTAAAGTTACATAGCTATTGTGTTCCTTGTGGAACCCAGCACAGAGCTAGGTGCAAAAGAGATACTTGAACTTAAACATGATTGCACTGCATTGGATTGAATTAATTTGAATTGAATAATATAAGGAAATAGTCATGGAAGTGAGGACTGGGGAGTTAGATTTCAGAATCCCAGATTTTCATTTGTTAAATCCCAAAACTTCTTAAAAGGCAATTATAACAATAATGGAATGGAGTACTTTTACAAGTTACTTTATCCATATTATCTTGCTGAATATATTTTTGAATTGTTTGTGCCTCTCAGTGCAAGATCGGTGTGATTACTATGGCTGTAAAAAGACGAAGGATGACAATGACTGCAGCAATGGTTTACTATGTACATGCAAAGATGGGCTGGAAAGACCTAGCCCACAGATCCCTTTCTGTTCTGGTAAGTTCCACCCGCTTCTAAATGTTCTTCACAACACCTATGCTCTCTCCTTTTGCATTTGCAAAATACAAACTTGACTGCTCGAGTTTCCATGAGCATTTCGGAGTCTGAGGGATGTGAATTTTGGCTTTAAATAAACATATGGACCTGGACTGGGACCTTGGGAAGAGCTGGTGAGGTAGCCCATGTGCAGCCTCACAGGAGGCAGGTCATGTGCAGAGCCAATGAGCACCTCATTTGACACAGGAAAAGCAGTGTGAAAAAAATTGAATTCTGTGACATCACTTTGGGTTTGAAGAGGTTGTTTGTGAAAATTACTCAGAAGTCACTCTGTTTTGAAGCTAGTTCACAGTGTCCTGATGGCTGCAATGAAGAGAACAAGAAGCAGTGCTTACTGATGGATGACGGGAGCACTGACTGCGTGTGCCTGTCGGGCTACGAGAAAGATGGTCAGGGCACGTGTCAAAAGTAAGAGAAATCACTCCTTTTCTATCTTGCCATAGCCGGAGCTAGGCCAAAAGGATAGAGCTTGCAACGTATATATGGGTTTAGGGTCAGGAAGTTGGTACGCTGGCATAAGTTGGTAGGTACAGAGCATCATCATCATCATCATCATCATCATTAATAGCTTTTGAGCATTCTCTATGTGCTAGGAGCCACACTAGGTAATATGTCTCACACAACAACACTGTCAGGAGTGTATTAGTTCCCTATTTTCAGGTAAGGAAACCGAAGCTCAGAGAATATAATAAATAAGACGCCCCAGCTCACAGGGCAGTAAAAAGGGGCAGAGCTACATGTTCTTACAGCCCAAGGGGAGGGGCTCCCACCATGCCTCCGGGGCTGAGCTTTACCTGAATTGCTGAATCTTCTCGGAGCTCAGAGGATGGAATAGCCAGTCAGTAGCAAATGAGACCACATGGGATTGTGTGAGCTTTCCAGAGCTTTCTAGAGCTCCATGGAAGGTGCTTACCTGGAAGAATGGGAGTGTAAGGAAGAAATGAGAAAGGGGAGAAGGAGCAAGGGGGGGATGGGTTGAAGGAAAGGAAGGTGGGAAGGAAGACATGGAAGTGGGGTGGGAACTCCCACTTCCCACAAGGAGCTTTACCATGCTTTCCTATTGCTTATTGTATTTTAGATGTGCATTTGGCTACAGTGGAGTCAACTGTAAAGACCGTGAGTATGAAAGTCTTGCTTTGTTATTAAGCACCTGAGAAACAAAGATTGGCCACATTCACAATTCTGTCCAGTCCCCCAAAGTCCCTGGCTCCCTTCATAAAGAGAGAGAAAAGCTGCCTGCAGTCTGTGTTCTGGGTCACGCCATCCCGTGCCTGCCCTAGGCCCAGGCAGCAGCACCTCTCCTACAGGAGATAACAGAACTCAGCCCATGAGGTGGGCTGGCACCTCTGCCCTTGTCCCAGGCCAGAAAAGGGTGTCCTAACATTATGTTCATTTCCTACATTACCTTAACTATGCACTGTCTGCTAACAGAAAGGATAAAAGACCAGTATATTCCAAAAATGTTTATGGTTGTGGGAGAGCAGAACTAGAAACCAGGCAGCTAAATAAGCCAATCTTTTTGTTTCAGGCCTATTTACTAGTTTGGCATGTGCTGTTGCAAATTCAATTGCTTCCTTCTCTCCTATGCCCCATCTCCACCAGATTGGGACAATACTAACTTTATATTTTAAATTGTTTTATATTTTAAAGTTTACATCAATGGTCCAAGATGAAGGAAATATTACTTCCTTCTTCAGTGGCCTCCCAGCCAGCCACAAAGCTAGTGATGAGAAATGCTCTCAATTTCTACTGTATTTTGTTGCAAGGCTGGATTTACTAAAGTCATTTCTTTCTTCCGGGCTTTCAGTGTCCACACCTATAAACTTAGCGGTTTGGACCAGATGACCTTTGAGGTCTTTTCCAGACTTACTGGTCTACGGCCCCAAGAATCCAGGCTGGAGTTGGTGTGGATGGCAGTTATGTAGCAGAAAGAGACCAAGGGGTCTAGAGCAGCAGTGTCCAAAAGAAATATAATGTGAGCTTCATATTTAATTTCAAATTAAAAAAATTCTAAGTAAATTTTAAAAAGCAAGGAGAAATAGGTGAAATTGATTCTAATAATATTTTATTTCACTCAATATCTCAAAAATATTATCATTTCATGGGCCCGCCCCGTGGCTTAGCGGTTAAGTGCGCGCGCTCCACTACTGGTGGCCCGGGTTCGGATCCCGGGCGCGCACCGACGCACTGCTTCTCCAGGCATGCTGAGGCCGCGTCCCACATACAGCAACTAGAAGGATGTGCAACTATGACGTACAAATCTACTGGGGCTTTGGGGAAGAAAAAAAAAGGAGGAGGATTGGCAATAGATGTTAGCTCAGAGCCGGTCTTCCTCAGCAAAAAAAAGAGGAGGATTAGCACGGATGCTAGCTCAGGGCTGATCTTCCTCACCAAAAAATAAATAAATAAAAATAATAAATAAATAAATAATAAAAAGGAAGTGTTAAAAAAATTAAAAAAAAATTATCATTTCAACATGTAATCAGTATAAGAAATATTAATGAGATATTTTACATTATTTTTCATCCTTCGTGTTTGAAATCTGCTGTGTATGTTACACTCACAGGCCATCTCATAGCCATATTTTAAGTTCTCAATAGACAGAGCAGATTTTGAGGAGGAGAATGAGTGGTAATGAACGTCCAGACTCTTCCCTCATCAGTTCTATCAAGCCATTACCTGGATCCTCTATTAGTGACAAATTTGACTCCAACCTAGTTCCCCCAGCTTATCAGCAAGGTCAAGTATGGTGGGTAGGCAAAGGCAGCAGAGGTAAGGAGGGTGTGTGGACCTCGGTTGTGATCCCATCTCCCATGAAGCCCAGGAAGGCCCTGCTACTATGGCGTTCTTTGTGTTTATGGTCTTCTTTTACCTGGCAAGGCTGCCTCTTCTGATTGAGTTCTGAAGACGCAGCTGGGGGTGTAGGGGGATAGAGTTAAAGGAGGTTAGCCACCCACCCAGCCTGGTCCTGGAGGGGTTGGAGACCAGAGCCTGACTGTCCTCACAACCAGGAGCCACTGGGAACACACGTACCTGTGCAGTAGACAGTGGTGCCTGCTTGTAGGAGGCTGTTCTACTCTTCTCTTTTCCCTTTCAGCATTTCAGCTGACCCTCACCATCGTGGGCGTTATTGCTGCCATCCTCCTTCTCGGCGTGGTGATCGCATGGATCGTCTCATTGAGGTACGGAATGGAAGTGTCCCTTTCCAAGGGCACAGCGCCACTGGCATTACACTCTAGTTCTCAAAGACACCCGGCCTTTCCCAGGCAAGAGATGAGAAATAAGGCGAGGCCTCTCTAATACCAATGACTTTTTTTTCTTGCTTTAATTTTCTTCTGATTATATAAGCTATACATGAACATTGAAGAAAATAGAGAAATGTGTAAATGAGCAGAATAAAAATCACCCATAAAACCCACAACCCTGATGCAACGACATTGTGGCATATGTCCTTCCAGGGTTTTTTCTATCTTTTTAAATGATATTATACACATAATTTGGTATCCTTTGTGTTTTTAAAAAGTTTTCTTGAGGTTTATTTTTGCTTAACACTATAATGGGACATAGAAGCCATTTCCTGATGTCATTAAAAACTCTTTGTTAACAGTATTTAATTCCACTGATGTCAAATATAATTTTCATCAAGCCACACCCCTGCCCAGGACCTTGCTGCAAATGGTCCAAATCAGCCTCAGCTGAACCCCCTTGGTTTTAAAAAAGTAGAAACTGTTATCTCTGCGTGGCTCTTTCTCAGCTTGGTGCCTGAAGTGTTCTTCCTGGGAACTTAAGTAGGGTCCATTCATTTATTCAGCACATAGGTAGATATGTCCAAGTTCCCTCCATTAACAGTAGGGAGAGTACTATTATCTCTGTTTCATTCAAAATGTGCCAAGTGGGATTCCACTTTGATGAACATAAGCTACTTTTTTACAACATTTATCCCATATCTTATATTTTGGCACAATAGGTATTTTCGCACTGTAATGTGAGAAGATAAATAGATTTTAGCTTCCTAAAATATTTTGTTTCTTCTTTTATTCTATTTTGATATTAACTCTTCCCCCAGAGACTTAATTATAAGGACTCAAAGCTGGGAACTGGGAATATGACTTTCCCTGTTCCAGGGAGAGGACCAGAACATTTGATTCTGGAGCAAGGCTGTCTCCTCCTTTCTTAGAATTGGCTAACTGTCCTGGGTCTCCAGCGTCCAGGGGCTGCTGTAGAACCTTGTGACCCTGTAACAGCCATATTCTCAGTTCCTCCTTCCTGCTGCAGAGTCAGGTTTGCTCTTAGCTCAGCCTCAGATTTGTGATTCTCGGGAACACACCGAGAATTCTAACGTCTTGCCCATTTCAAAGGGAAGGAAGCCTCTCCTCAGTCGCCTTAGACGGGAGTGTTGTCAAAGGGCAGGACCCTGTTGTGGGCTGGGCTGGCTGTCAGGGTCACAGGGTGTGTGGGTCTTCCTTTACGACATTCCTAGTGTGACTGAGGCATGGGTGACTGTCACACTGAGAGGGCCTTGTGGGCATCAGAGATGCAACAGGCCCCATCCCCACTCTAACAGTCTAGGGCACTGCAGGGGCAGGACGATGGCCTGTGGGCCAGAAGGAAGGAAGGGTCATGATCAGCGTTACTTGGGGGCAGATGCCTCCCTGACCTGCAAGTACTTCCATACGGCTTTGAATGCTTACACTTGAGATCCTTGAGGGGCTGCAGCAGAACCTGGGCAACTTCTATTTCTCCTTTTAAGACAGTAATTCCTGGAACCCATTTTATTCACTGAGGTGATTCTGTAGATGTTGACTTTGCCCGAATGAAAAATTGTATCACTAATCACCTTTTCTCTTTGACTTGTATTATTATTTTCATAAATAATTCAAAAGCATACTTAAGAGGACTAACATTATTAGCAAAAATTTGCACGGGACCATGGAATTAGATGGTAATATTGGATCACTGTTAACATTCTGGTTTTGATGGTTACACGGAGCTTATGAGGAGACCGTCCTTAAACTAAGGGAATCTACACTGAATGAAGTAAAAGTATTATGGGTAATGGGGCAGCAGATCTGCAACTTATTCTTATATGGTTCAGAAATGTTAACAATTGGGGAGTCTGGGTGATGGATGTATGGGAGCTCTGTGTAATTTTTTTTTTTGTAAATTACATGTAAATTCGAAATTATTTCAAAACTTGAAAACATTTTTTAAAAAGAATACTAACATTTGCATCAAGGACCTTCCCTTATTGTCAGATCCTAATTTCTTCACTGATTACAGATCAAAGAACAGAAGGCAGAATATTGAAGAACAGAACTTGATTGACAATGACTATCAAAATCTGAGACTGCAGCAGACAACAGGCTTCAGCAATCCAGGAGCGGACGGGAGCATCTTCCCGAGAGTCAGGACTAATATCTCCAGAGATGGTCAGCCACAGAATCCTTATGCAAACCGGAGAGGTATGCAGAACCCTTATGCAAACCAGACAGGTATGCCCTGCCTTGACTATTAGGTGAGTCAGTGGGCTTTCTGATTGGCTTTTCGGAGTGAAAAGCCCCAGGGCAGAGTAGGGACCTGGCTATTCTCTCTTCACCTGGGGCTGCTCCCAAAGGCTTTTTTTTTTTTTTTTTTTTTTTTTTTAATCCAAAGAGAAAGATCAGGGGCCTACCTGGTGGTGCAAGCGGTTAAGTGCGCGCGCTCCGCTGTGGCGGCCCAGGGTTCGCCGGTTCGGATCCCAGGCGCGCACCAACGCACCGCTTGGCAAGCCATGCTGTGGCGGCGTCCCTTATAAAGTAGAGGAAGATGGGCACGGATGTTAGCCCAGGGCCAGTCTTCCTCAGCAAAAAGAGGAGGATTGGCAGATGTTAGCTCAGGGCCGATCTTCCTCACAAAAAAAAAAAACAAAAAAACAAAGAGAAAGAGAAAGATCAGAGGAAGCTCCCTGCTATGGTAAACAGCCACCCCTTGGTCCCTAACACCAATCATCTCTGTGACTTGAGACACATCACTTAATTTCTCTGGTCTCCTAGTTCATCAGCCGTAAAAAAAAGAAGCTTAATTTAGATTCCCTTATGGTCCCTTTAAATTACAAGCTTCTGTGGACATGACTCCAGTGGTTGTGATGACAATTCCCAGGCTGTTTAAGGACCTAGGACCTAGGACCTAGGTCAGGCCTGGAAGGACTGTTGCATGTCAGGATCTGTGGGATGCTTTTCAGGCAGCCCATGGAAAGGCAAATCTCTCCTTCCCTCCCTCCAGGCCTCAAGGCGACCAGATCAATTTCTAAAGAGATAAGGCAAGTTAGGCTGGTAACATTTTATCTCCCTGGGGAGGACTTTCAAGAACAGCTGTACTCTTTAGATTTGTATTGATAATCGTAGCGGCATTGCTGAATGTGTTCTGAATGAAATGCTGGAAGGAGCAAGCCTGTCAGAGGCGACTCTTGCGGGGAAGAGAAACAAGGGACTGAGATGGAAGGAAGGAGAGGTGATGAAGGAACAGCAGAAAGGGGGCCAGAGAAGAGAGAGGGCAAAGGAGAAGGCAAGAAGAGAAATATTTTTTTTAATAAAGGAAGACTAGGGAGAAAGGGAAAGCAGGTGGAGGGTAAGAGGACTCAGAAGAGTAGCAAAATGAAGAGGAGGAAGGAGGGGGACACAGGCTGGTGGGGGCGGGGCTGAGAAGGGAGACAGGCTCCGCACTCTGCGCGCACATTTCTCTTCTGCAGACTGCCCGGGTGAGCACGCCGCCCTTTGAGGATCTCAATGCACTGTGAACATTCTGAGAAAACTTGACATTTTTATTTTGAAATTCCATGGCTTATTTTGCACATAAACTTTCCTTTAGTCATGGAAGTCTAAATGTTTAACGTGTACAAAGAGATGAGTTGCACAAAATGCACCATGTTGGGTTAGACACAGGGTCTTGCAGCAATACCAAAGATGGACATGCCGTGGGAACTCCTGTTGGCCCCACCTAAGGCCAACCTTAACCAGCAAACTCATTAAAAACCTCCTCTCCTCCGTATCAGTGTAGCCCTTACTTCAAGTATAACCTCTAAAGAGAGCCCTGTAAGTGGGAGAATAAGCATGGCATTTAGAGTCAGAGACCTGGGTTCAAAGCCTTGCTCTTCCTATCTGTGTGTTACCACCTGTGTGATCCTGGACAAGTTATTTGACTTCTCTGGGTTTGTTTTCTCGTCCATGAAATGGACAAAATGAATCCTACCTCATAGGACAAAAATCAAATAAGCTAAAATATATAAAGAACCTAGCACAATGGCTTTTCTGATTTGAATAGTAGTATTCAAATAATGTTAATTAAAATAATGTTAATAATTTATGAATCTAAATTTTCTTATGTGTTTTTGTTGGAATACTTCTTTTCTAAGAATTTTTTTTCCCTCTCTCTTTCCCTCCTTTTGTCTAGAATGGTAAAAATCCGGAAACATCCATGGCCCTCAACCCAATGTACGAGCTTTTATTTTGAACATTTAAAAGACTGATGGAGAAGTGAGCAGCCATAAAGATCTGGCCTTTGGTATTTTTCTTCCATCCAACATCTAGCCTCTCTGAGTGGAAGTTGTGGGCATTTGCTGTGAATAGAGCTTGTTTGCTAACTGAGTACCTATGAAATTGAATGCACATAGATGCTACCAGCACTGGTAAGGTAGTTGATTTTCTCCAATCAGTACAATGGTTAGGTTTTTTTTTTTCCTGTTGGGGCAGCAATAACCATTTCCAATCCAGAGAAAAGCTCCCCAAGATTGTTCACTCCTGGGAGAATGTTGCTCTCAAGTTGATAGCCTACAGATGAGTGACCTAGTTCTGGGAGACTCTTACCATCAGCTGTGGAGGTCCTAGAGGATGGGAAGAGATACTTTTTTTTTTTTTCTGGCGAGGAAGTTTAGCCCTGAGCTAACATCTGTTGCCAATCTTCCTCTTTTTACTGAGGAAGATTGGCCCTGGGCTAACATCCATGCCCGTCTTCCTCTACTTTATATGTGGGATGCCGCCACAGCATGGCTTGATCAGCGGTGTGTAGATTTGCACCCAGGACCCAAACCTGCGAACCCCAGGCCGCCAGAGCAGAGCACGCGAACTTAATCACTACATCACCTGGCCAGCCCCTGAGATACTATCTTTTAAGGTTCTCAAAGTTCATTCTCTGACAAGTTAAACTAGGGCTGCTACTTCTAGCCATCAATGTAAGGATTTCATTATCCTCGAACTGCCAGGAGCTTGTGACCTGGCCTCACACCAAAAGGACAGAAAAGAGACATGTCTCAGCTTTTTTGGCAGGAGTGACTGGGCATCCAGGACCTGTCTGATGCTAATTAGAAGGCCTGGACTAGAAATGTCCACCATGGGTGCATTCTAGAGTTTTTGAAATGCCAGTAGGTGGCAGAGGCAGGGAGAAAAAATATGACCAGAAGTGGGAGGAAGAGAGGCAGAAGGAAGCTGGGCTGGGAGGATGAGTAAGGAAGAAGGTACCCAGGATCCACCTGCATTGTCAGATGCTCCTCCTCAAGGAGCAAATGGGCACTGCCTCTAATTCATGCCCTATCCAAGCTCAGAGGCCAGGAAAAGGTGTGAAGACAAAACCCCCAGGAGCAAGAGCTTGAAGTCGCTTTGAAATTGCAGCCATTCTGTCTGGCTGATGGTGAGAGAGGTGGCTTGTGCTCTGGATCCAGATGTCCAGCCCTGTGATGCAGATTCCAGCAGGACTTCCTCGAGGCCGCAGCCGTGGCTGGTGACACACACAGCCAAGAATGGGGGCAGCCACATCCAGCACAGCCTTTCTTTACTGTGAAGAGTGTCCTTGTTTATGTCTCATGTCTGGTCCCCTTGCAAGTTATTTTTATTTGTTGTTGTTATTATTTGTTCTTGACTTGTTAACTGTGAAAGGTAACAAATAAAGTATCTTTGGTAGATGGCGTCCTTCCTTGTGTTCAGGGTTTTGGTGACGCACGTGGCAGTAAGTCTCACTTGCAACGGCAGCCGTGACACATGGCAAACTGGATGGATTGACATCCGCTGTCCTCATTAGGGGCTGTTGGATTACCCAAGTTAAATTTTTAACAGGTAGTAGACATTTTTGGCTGCTTCCTCATCCACATCCCATTCCCCTTGTGTTATGAAGCAGCCAAGCATTTTGGGTGGGACTGATCTGACCCCCAGCTCCCAGGGGTGTGCCTTGGTTGGCCCAAGCAATCAGTGGAATCCCATCCCAATCCACAGGGATTGACTTAAGAGTGAGCACATGGCATAAGTAGATGCAGTTAGAATAAAGCCCGAATTTTGGTAGGAGGCTTTCAGGAAGAGAAACTCTTTGTTCTGGTGAGTGGACTCGAGGATGTAAGGCCTCGAACTGCTTCAGTTTTGCTGAGCTGACAGGTACAGGGGGGCAGAGCTGAGAGAACCATGGAAAGTGGAGCTGGAGCTCTGATCAGACTATACTGGAAGCCTCTGGACGGGACTGTTAGGCCAGTTTGAGTAGTTGTTTCTGTTTTTGCAGCTTAAAGCATCCTCACTGATGCCACCTCAGTTTACTCTTGTGTTCTCAAGGCTAGGTGGTGAATGGAATAAAAGAAACACCCTCTTCTGAGCTATTAATGCCCACAGTAAAGACACTAGTCATCAACCAATTGGTTAATGGCAGCAGAATTAATGCAGACATAACAAAATTGGCTGACCAGTGTAACGTCATCACAGACTTTATTTCTGACCTACATGTTACCTCCTTTACATTTGAAGATGATTCTAGATTCAGTGCTAGAAGTAGGCTATTTGAACCTTTTTTCTAAAGAGTCCCACTTGCCTTGTGCCGCTCTGCACCAGAGCACGCCAGCTTCCATTGCTTCTCAAAGGTCCTGGGCCATACAAACTCTGGGCTTCCCAGACCAGAGTGTCAACCATTCTTCAGAGACTTTCATTGCTATTGTTTGAATTAAAATAATATGCTCTAAATATGTACATGTGTAATGTTTATGAAAATGGGTTTTGTGTTCAAAGGTGCTTTTGATTCTTCTACAATATGGCCTGTAATTCAGTTGTTTCTGCTCTCCAGGACCTCTACAAAGGTTTTCTCACTGATCGTCCTGCAAACTCAGAGGGGAATGAACTTCCTAAGATAGGAATCTGATCATGACACTCCCTTGCTTAAGGCTTTCAGGGGTTCTCCACAGGGAGAATGAAGCTCACAGAATCAAGCCAGACTCCTTGTGGCTCATCACTCCTTGTCATCTGGCTGCTGCCACCAACTGCTCCTGCTTAGCCTCATGCCCTTCCCCCCACAGTGCACTAACACTCTGGCCACACTTGCTGCTCCCTAAACATACCACCTCTTCACAAATTTGCTCATGCTGTTCCCTACACTTGGAATGCCCCTTTCCTTCAACCGCCTGATCAACACCTCCATCTGTCCATATCGGCTAAATCACCATCTCCCCTGACCAGCTTTTCCTAATCCTCCCTGCAGCACTGAAGTAGAA